CAGGGGGAACGCCAGTGCCAACTTCTCCGGTGCATCTATACTCTGGCTTTATAGAGATAGGGAATCATTACCACTTTATCAGAGGTCTCCCTCCATCTTCCCTTTACCCGCTCTAACTTCTGGGTAACAAAAAGCCCCTTTTTACTTACCTAAATCACATGACGTGCTGGGTTCCAAAATTGTTATCTTCCTCACTGCATGGGGTCCTTTTTCAGGTGACTACTTCCCATTGGCTGTCCAGGAGCAGGGTTATTTCAGGCTCCAGAAGACTGCAGTGATGGGATGATGGCGGGACTGATCACCACGGGTAAAGACAACAGCGTTGGATCACCATTCTTCACTCCTTGAAGATCTGCCATCGAAGGACGCGTGGTGGTAGGCTTAGGTGAGTAAAAAAAAAGTGTTGAGCTTAATCCATGATCATTATTTATTAGGGATGCACCAATACCGATACTAGTATCGTTATCAGTGCCGATACCAAGTAATTGGGCGAGTACTCGTACTCGCCCAAATGCTCCGATACCTTTCCTGAGACCGAAACTTCCGGTCAGAGGAAAATATCCTCTGGCCAGCAGTGCCGTAGGGGAACATGGAGCCGGCTTCCTGGGCATTTCTAAAGCCGGTGGCGAGTAATGACCTGCCTCCCGGTTTCCTGATTGGCCGGGAAACCAGTTCCATGCTGATTCGTTTGGGGAGGCGGCTTCCTGGCCAACCAGCATCAAGCCGGCCAAACATCCGGCTCCTTGCTGATTGGCTGGGAAGCTGGCTTCCCGGCCAATCAGCATCGAGCCGGCCGTACAGCCGGCTTGATGCTGATTGGCTGGGAAGCTGACTTTCAAGCCAATCAGCAAGGAGCCGGATGTTTGGCCGGCTTGAGGCTGGTTGGCCAGGAAGCCGCCTCCCCAAACCAATCGGGGAGGCGGGTCATTACTTGATGAACGGCTTCCTGATTGGTCAGGAAGCCGGCGCCATGCTGATTGGCTGGGAAGCTGGTTTCCCGCCCAATCACAGTCAAGACTGCCAAACAAAAAGGAAGCCGGCTCCATGCAAGCGGAAGCATCGGTATCGGTACTCAGTATCGGCGAGTACCGAAAGCAAAATAGCGCTACTCGATACCGAAAAAACGGTATGGGTGCATCCCTATCATTTATGATCACACCACTTGCTTATTGATGGAGACCTGATGAACTTGACCCGCCAACGTTTCTCTACTCCAGAAAAGCCATTTACGGCTGATGCTTTACCGCGCAGATGTTTTTATCCATGACTATTATGGCCTATCAATAACTTAACCACCTCCGTTTGGCCGTATTGTAAAAAAAAACAGGCGGGGAGGTCGACGTGTTTTTTTTGGAGAGCCGTTTATAAATGGCCCTTCAGAAAACACACATGGGAGGCCAGTGCATCATTGTGATTGGACAGACTCAGATACAGACTGGTACTTAAGCGGTGAACTTAACTCATTACTAATCCTGAATGACCAGGAATGTCTTAAAGCTCAATAATGACTTTGGGCCTCATGTTACCAAAAAGTCTGAAGATAGGACTTCTTGTGTGCCCATAGTAGCCAATCACATCTTCTCTTCACCATGATCTGATTAGATACCTTTTTCTTCAACTGCCCTTTTAGTGTTACTGTGATTGAATGTATTTATTGTTGTGTTTACAGATCATCCTGTATTCCAAGAACAGAGTTACATGCAGAGGAGTGGCAGTATTTAGGACACAAGGATCTGTAGAAGGACGTCATGATGGAGAACCGGCCGCCACTCACATCACCGGGTAAGAGAAGACTTTCATTTCCTGAGTATTGAGGATCCCCCTAGATACACACATCCTCTGATATAAAGACATAGAAACAATGTATTCAGTCAGTGTGTGTGTTTCCTACAGATGGATCCAGGAACAGAAATACCCCAGAGAGATGTCCCCGTCCTCTGTATTCCCGGGATTCCACACAGGAACATCAGGAGATCCCTCAGACCCGTCCTCTGTATTCCCGGGATTCCAACCAGGAACATCAGGAGATCCCTCAGGCCTGTCCTCTGTATTCCTGGGATTCCTCACAGGAACATGATGAGATTCCTCAGACCCATCCTCTGTATTCCCGGGATTCCACACAGGAACATCAGGAGATCCCTCAGGCCCGTCCTCTGTATTCCCGGGATTCCACACAGGAACATCAGGAGATCCCTCAGACCCGTCCTCTGTATTCCCGGGATTCCACACAGGAACATCAGGAGATCTGTCAGGAGGATCAGGTAGATGGAACTATAGGTTTTTATTCTAAATAATATTCTATTTCCATCATACATTAGGCACTTTTTAAATATGTGCTGTTGTCCTATCTAGGGTGAAGGCCTAGATCCAGTTAAGGTTGAACATGAGAAAGCGATGTCTATGAGTGGTGATGACCAGTGTAAGGAGGAGGAAATCCTTCCAGAGATCAGCACAGGTGAGCAAAAAACTCAGCAAAAAACAAGTCCCAGATTCTCCTTGTTCAGTCACTACAGCAATCTCTTCTTCTCCCCCCTCCTCTGTCAGTAGGAAGTCATGGGGAGACAGCAAGGGCCCAATGGGAAAGTCAGGAGTCACTAGCCTCTGTTCAACGACTGCTTTCCACTCACCCAGTTATTGTGTGTTACCTGTCAAGAAGCCCAGCTCCATCTGGGGACCCTGGAAACACAACTGTTAAACAGAGACACGTCATAGTTGAAAAGGAAGAAAGCAGACATATGAAGATTAAAGAGGAGGAAATCCCTCCAGAGATCAGCACAGGTGAGGAATAAACACTAAATCCAGAGAAGAGTCCCAGATTCTCCTTGTTCAGTCACTACAACAATCTCTTCTTCTCCCTCCTCTGTCAGTAGACAGTAATGGGGGGACGGAATGTGTGTAGTGGGGGGAGTCAGGAGCCATCAGCCTCTATTAGACTCCGGCTCTCCTGCTCACATCATGTCATTGCGTGTTACCAGCCAAGAGACGTGACCCGTCTCCCCCCACACACACTCTCTGGGTTCTCTCATACATCTCAGTACAGGGGGCTTCACTCTCATCTCTATTCACAGATCCTGGAGACAACAGAGACACTCAGAGAGACGTCAAAGCTGAGGAGGAGGAAGAAGAACATGTGAAGATTAAAGAGGAAGAAGTTCCTACAGAGATCAGCACAAGTGGGTATTGAAAGAACATCACAGATTCTTATTCCTACTTCAACAGTTTTGTTTTTTTTGCTCTTTGAGAATGGTTTATTAGAAATAAATTGTAACTCCTTGCTGGAGTTACTCCTGGCTCTGGCTTTCAGAGGGCCAAACAGGAGGTTCTGGATTTGTTTTTCCGTTCGCAGTTTAGACTTGAGTCACCAATCCACCATTTGTAAGCATTCAATTGATATCAATAAAGATTTCTTCATGTGGGGGAAAGGCCTGACCAGACATGTAAGCAGTCACATGGCTTTGGCCCTCCTGTTGCTATACGTATTAAGCCATTCCTAACAGGTGTCAATGCTTTACCTTTCTCTAGGATTAGCCGAGGGTGGGAATGTATTGGGACTTCCATTTCCTTCCATTTGGATGAAGATAAGGAGCTGTGAAATAATATTTGGTCCATTCAGCTGCTGAGAGCTTAGAAAATACCCTGTACATCTGGGTACGGAGGATCATGTGACTGAGCTAATATGTGGTGACTAGCCCTTTCTGTCACATGGGGTGGGAAGAGTCCTCATCCATGTGTTTGCTCCAACTAGGATCATCCTGGTGGCCTAATGGAGAGGGGGGAAGGAGACCAAGGAATGGGATGTGTGCCTATTGGGAGCAATGCATTAAACTGGACTTGTTGAATTTGCCTGCAATTCAGCTTTACTAGTTTTATTATATGTCTTCTCCCCCCAGATGAACCATGCAGAAGGCATGACACTGAAGAACATTCCAAGACCCCTCCAGAGGGTGCAACAGAAGGTGATGAGGTTACATCCAGTTCTTCAGAAGAGATCCCCATAGCCCCAAAACGTCACCCAGTACCTCCTAGTGCAGACCTAGCACTCGATGCCTTTACACGTTGGGGGTGGTTCCCTGACCATGCCTATCATATCATCCAGCACGTACCCAAAACAGAAGACAGGCCCTTACCGTGTTACGAGTGCGGGGAATCGTTCACCCATTTAGAAGAACTCATTTCTCATCGGGCCAGTCACAAACTCGAGAAGCCGTTTTCATGCCCTGAATGTGGAAAGTGTTTCACCCGGAGGTCCAATCTCCTTCAACATCAGAGGATTCACACAGGGGTGAAGCCATACTTGTGTTTGGAGTGCGGGAGAGGTTTCACTGAGAAATCCAGTCTCATCCAACATGAGAGAATTCACAGAGGCATTAAGCCTTTTTCCTGTTCTCACTGTGGGAAAGGTTTCACTCAGAGATCTAGTCTTACCGTGCATGAGAGGATCCACACTGGTCTGAAGCCATATACATGTTCCGAATGTGGCCGATGTTTCACTAAGGGGTCGAATCTTACGGCGCATCTGAGAACTCATTCCGGGGAGAAGCCGTTTTCTTGCTCCGAATGCGGTAAAAGTTTTCCCTTTAAGTCGTATCTTATAATACACGAAAGAATTCATACTGGGGAAAACCCATTTACATGCTCGGAGTGTGGGAAGTGTTTTTCTCAGAAACAGCATTTAAGTTCGCATCAGAGGAGTCACGCGGCCAAGAAGCCATTTTCATGTTCGGAATGTGGGAAGTCTTTTACCCAGCGAAACCATCTCATCTCACATGAGAAGAGTCACACCGGAGATCAACATTTCTCATGTTCTGAATGTGGGAAGTGTTTTGCCACAAGAGACCTTCTTATCGCACATCAAATGAGCCATACAGGGAAGCTGCCATTTTCATGTTCGGAGTGCGGGAAATGTTTTACCTGGAGAGCCACTTATCTGATACATCGTAGAACGCACACAGGGGTGAAGCCATATTCATGTTCAGAATGTGGGAAATGTTTCTCCCAGAAAGCATGTCTTATCTCTCATCAGGTGACTCATACAGGTGAGATGCCTTATTCCTGTTCAGAGTGTGGGAAGTGTTTTTCTTTTAAGCACTTGCTCATTAAGCACTATAGAGTTCACACGGGAGAGAAACCTTTTTCATGTTTGGAATGTGGAAAGTGCTTTTTCGAGCGGAAACGTCTCATCTCCCATCAGAGATCTCACACAGGGGAGAAGCCATACTCCTGTTCAGAATGTGGGCAGTGTTTCACTTCGAAACATTCACTCACGGTTCACCATAGAGCTCACACAGGGGAGAAGCCATACTCCTGTTCGGAGTGCAGAAAATGTTTCACGGCAAGGTCAAGTCTTTCCAAACACCAGGCGCGCCACACTGGGATGAAGCCGTTTTCTTGCTCTATATGCGGCAAGCAGTTTTTCCATAAATCTATTCTCGTCACGCACGAAAGACTTCACACAGGGGAGAAGCCGTACTCTTGTTCCGAATGCGGCAAATGTTTCAGCGATCGGTCAAATCTTACTTCACATCAAAAAATTCACATTGGTGATCTTCATTACTCCTGTCCAGACTGCGGGAAAGGTTTTAAAAGGAGATCAGACCTGGCTTCACACAGCGGTCGAATCCACAAGAATCCACCCTGTGTAGCCGTGGAAGATTCACAGGGGAGGAGCCATTAAAAATGAACCTCGTTCTGTCCTTCGTTTCTGTAACACGTCCGCAGAAATCTCGCTTCACTCCAGTCCCCCCGAATGGATTCTCAATGTGTTGGGAATGCAAAAGACTTCTTACAGTTGAATTGTACTTACATTCATTAAATATCCAAAACCTGTTTTGTGGTCAATTTCTTTTTAACATTTTTTTATATTTTTCTAGATAATAAATTGATTTTGTATTATTTGAAAAATTCATTTGAACGTAGGTTGCATCAATGGCATTCCTGGACAGAAAGGTTTGTGAATGGACAACACTCGCATTCGTATGCTCAAACTCATCAGTCCCTTCCAAAAGGCCGGGTGGCGGCCGACAGGCATGCCACGGCCGTCACCAGCAATCTAATGTATGTAAAGCCGCACTCAACAGCCAGGACCTCAATGTAAAAAGTAGAGATGCACCAATACCCAGTACAAGTACCGATACTTTTCCTCAAGTACTCGCCGATACTAATTACCGATACCTTTTTATAAAACAATACAGACTAATGATTATAGGGCAGTGGTAGAGCGCCAGCGTCCCCAGTCACAGCTGCAACTGGTGCGGCTCTGGTAGCTCTGCCACTGACTCCAAGCTGTAGAGGGGCTACAAATCCCAGCAATACATTATACAGCAAGCAGAATACCACCAGCTATAGAGGACTATAAATCTCAGGAATACATTATACAGCAAGCAGAATACCACCAGCTATAGAGGACTATAAATCTCAGGAATACATTATACAGCAAGCAGAATACCACCAGCTATAGAGGACTATAAATCTCAGGAATACATTATACAGCAAGCAGAATACCACCAGCTATAGAGGACTATAAATCTCAGGAATACATTATACAGCAAGCAGAATACCACCAGCTATAGAGGACTATAAATCTCAGGAATACATTATACAGCAAGCAGAATACCACCAGCTATAGAGGACTATAAATCTCAGGAATACATTATACAGCAAGCAGAATACCACCAGCTATAGAGGACTATAAATCTCAGGAATACATTATACAGCAAGCAGAATACCACCAGCTATAGAGGACTATAAATCTCAGGAATACATTATACAGCAAGCAGAATACCACCAGCTATAGAGGACTATAAATCTCAGGAATACATTATACAGCAAGCAGAATACCACCAGCTATAGAGGACTATAAATCTCAGGAATACATTATACAGCAAGCAGAATACCACCAGCTATAGAGGACTATAAATCTCAGGAATACATTATACAGCAATGCAGAATACCATCAGCTATAGAGGACTACAAATCCCAGCAATGCAGAGTAATATGAAGCTACGTACACTGTGTTGCTCACCAGGGCTGTGCAGCGTCCCAGGAGGCTGTGCAGGGTCTGACCAGGGCTGCATTTGGGTCTCACCAGGGTTGAGTCCGTATCTCACCAGGGTTGTGCAGTGTCACCAGTACTGCGTGCAGGTATCCCCATGGCTGTTCGGGTGGGTGCGGGTCTTACCAGGACTGTTCCGTGTCTCACCAGGACTGTTCCGTGTCTCTCCATGGATGCTCGGGCGGGCGTGGAGGCGGGAATGAGAAGGAAATGTGCAGCCAGACAGTCGCTGTAAAAGACAGCTTCCACGAGGAACGCGGCACCTCCGGCAACCACTTACTGTATGTCTAAGACGCTGGTATGGGCGCTTAGTATCGAGGACATATTCACGAGTACAGTTTTGGCACTGATACAGATACTGGTATCAGAGCATCCCTAGTAAAAAGGTTTATTCTCGGGAATCTACAATGTTACCAGCATGACAAGATCCACAGGCTCTGACATGTTTCACCAAAAAGGCTTCATCATAGAGACCGGGAAAGAACCAGAAATGAAACGTGTGGCCAATCAATACCCTCCCTACAGGATGCATATTAACTCTTGCTATCCAAACTCCTCATGGATCTAATTATAACAAAATGGTAAAGTGCAACCTACCCGTCCCAATCAAAGATTGTGCTTCACAAGCTACCTCACTGGCTACAGCAACGGGAGGAACGACAGGCTGAAACCAGAAGTGACAACATCATCGGCACTTCTGGCTTCAGTAAGCAGAGCCTCCAGCCCGGCTGCACAATCCCACCATGCCAGTCTCGGGCCCACGCGAGGGCAGCAGAGTCCAGCCAAACCTAAGTGGACTCTGTTCTCCGAGGCTGGCCATACGTAATCTGCATTTAGCAAACAGTTCTCCTGATTCAAGCCCTGCTTTTGACGATCAGGCCCTTGATGACCTCCGTATAAGAAGGGGAGAGTGAACCCCTGTGTATATGTGGCATATATGGGGGGTGTGCAGACTTTACACGGTGTAGAACTCTCACCAATAGATTCAGGGAATTATTAGGTTGCTTAACTGTCCAACACCTAACAAAAATTGAAATGTCAACCCTGAGTGGACTGACCCTTTATTTCAGGTTTGTGAATGATTTTTTTATACCATCATTTGTATAAAATCCTTAGATTACAAATAGACCTTTAATACAGGAAGCTTTGATGTGCACAGTGCGCTCTGGGTTATCCGATAAGCAAGTCCAGCACTAGCACCACCCTTCAGACTGGTGAAGACTGAGAATCTACATAGAACGGTCGATAAGCAAGTCCAGCAATAGCACCACACTTCAGACTGGTGAAGACTGAGAATCTACATAGAACGGTTGATAAGCAAGTCCAGCACTACCACCATACTTCTAACTGGTGAAGACTGAAAATCTCCATAGATCGGTCGATAAGCAAGTCCAGCACTAGATCCACACTTCTGACTGGTGAAGACTGAAAATCTCCATAGATCGGTCGATAAGCAAGTCCAGCACTAGATCCACACTTCTGACTGGTGAAGACTGAGAATCTACATAGAATGGTTGATAAGCAAGTCCAGCACTAGATCCACACTTCTGACGACTGAAAATCTACATAGAACGGTCGATAAGCAAGTCCAGCACTAGATCCACACTTCTGACTGGTGAAGACTGATAATCTACATAGAACGGTTGATAAGCAAGTCCAGCACTAGCTCCACACTTCTGACTGGTGAAGACTGAAAATCTACATAGAATGGTCTCTACTTGGAGAGGGGAGGGTGTCCCTCCTCCGAGTCATTCTGTTGTGTGTATAAACCTGGAATCCCGCATTTCCGGTCCTCCGAGTACAGCAGTAAACCAGCTATGTAAGAATCCGGAGCATCAGACTCGCACTCATCCCCCGGCAGCCGCAAAAGGGTTAATTTTTAGATATTTTTGTGAGATTTTATATTTATTTGACGAAGAAGAAACAAATACTGGAAATGTAATTTCTGTTGCACATACTATATAAATAAAGAACATAAACACACAATACATTCCCTTTAGAATTGCACGTAACATCTTTCAAACGGTTTATATACAGAAAAGCGATTTTTAGTTTAAGCCTTGGGGGCCCCTGCTGCTGTGTGTGGCCCTGCTGGGGAGATTCACACTCTCTATTGGTCATGATGACCATTTCCACCTAGGCATGCAATGATACAAGATCTTATGGTTGTCACTAGGGATGCCGAGTATTTGGACCGAGCACTCGTACTCGGCCAAATGCTCCGATGCCTAAGCTTCCGGTATCGGGAAGCCGGCCAGAGAGTCATTACACGGCACCCGGCTTCCTGATTGGCCAGAAAGACGGCTTCATGCTCCCTCGTCACCAGGTGATGAGGGAGCACGGAGCCAGCTTCCTGGCCGATCAGGAAGCCGGGTGCCGTGTAATGGCTCGTTGCCCGGCATCCTGATTGGCCAGTTTCTCAACCAATCAGGAAGCTGGGAAACGAGTCATTACACCATCTTCCTGATTGGCCAGCTCTATGCTTCCTCATCACCTGGTGACGAGGGAGCATTGAGACGGCTTAACTGCTAATCGGGAACCCGGGTGGCCAGTCTTTACAAGCCGCCTGGCTTCCTTAAAGAAGAACTATGGGGTCAGTGCTTTTCCCCATAGTTCTCCCCAGGGTCACGGGAGGACACAAACAAGCATCCTCCCGTCACCCTAAGCTCAGTATACCGCGAGCTACAGCTCACTATATACTGAGACCGCCGCAGCCGGGACGGATCCTGACATTACTGTCGAGATCCACCCAGCTGCGTGATTGACAGCTGGCTCTGCCTATCTAGAGGCAGAGCCAGCAGTACCCGCCCCCTCCCCCGTCAGTTCCGCCAGTCAGTGCTGGAGGATCGGACAAGGGAATCCCTGCAGGGAGCCGTGAGTGACAGTCACCACTCTCTGCAGGGAGATGATCGAGAAGTGAGCGAGCGACGGTATGTGTTGGCTCACTTCCCGATCTATTTGAGCCGACCTGTGACAGTCTCATTGTCACACGTCGGCTCGAACTATGAGGCTGGGTGAAAATCACTCGCCTCATAGTTCTCCTTTAATGGGACTTCCGGTATCAGCGAGTCCCGGAAAAAAAATATCGGTACTCGTGCTTGATACCGAAAAACCAGTATCGGTGCATCCCTAGTTGTCACCAGAACAGGATGTGAGCTGCCATCTTCCAAAGGGGGTCCCCTGTTCACACGACAGCTTTCGCCCTCGTTCACACCTGAACGTTTTGTAGCGCGTTCTACGCTCGACGAACGCTCTACCAAACGCTCAAACATGAAAATCCCATTGTATTCAATGGGTCTGGTTCACACCTTGCCGTATTTCAGCCCGTCCCTAACGCGCTACAAAACGGCCCACGCCTGAAAAGGTACATGTACTACTTTGGGACGTTTTTGTTGCGCGTTTCCATTGGGATACAGCCAAGTAGCCCTCGGAAACGCGCGTTTATCGTGCAATTTTTTTTACCGCGAATCGCGGTAAAAAAACGCGTGA